TGCTGTGGCTGGAGGAGCAGGAGGGCTGCCAGGCGCTCCCTCAGTGCAGGCTGCAGCTCTGCTTCCTCGGGCTGCCCAGAAAGTGCTTTGTCTGCATCAGGGACAGGGACAGCTCTGAGTCCCCCTGGTTTGCTGCCCATTGGGGAGCTGCCCAGGGAAAAGCCCCCTTAGCTGGAGTATCAGACAGCCCTCCCAGGTACCCGGCCGTCATTCATCAATCCTGTTCTATAGGCACCTCCTGGTGGCCTGTCCCTCTCTGGTGACCAGCCCATCCCAGGAGATGACCTTTGCATTACCCATGTACCGATTATTTCCTTGAAACTGGTGGCATCCAGATCCAGGAGCATCGTCCCCTTCTGCAGGCATGTCCTCAGCTGGAACAGGCTGTGCAGGGACAGAGCTGGGACATGGGGTGTGCTCCAGCGCTCCCCACCATCCTCCACCTTCTCCTCAAACTTTATCCACCTGCCCATGGAGATGTGTGTGGTCAGTGGCAGGGTCCCCGTGCCAGGCAGTGGGAGCTGGAGCCTGGGTCCATCTTTGAGCTTAGCATGGGGCTGGCACAGGCAGGGAGGGGTTTGGGTGGCTCAGAGGGGCCTGCAGTTGGTTTATGGTGTAGGGCAGCTGTGCAGACAAAGTGGTCACACCCCTATTCCTGCAGACCCACACCTCTCCAAGAGCTGATCAGGGAAATTCCAACCATAATGAGGTGACAGGATGGTTCAGGTTTGAAGGGACCTTAAAGATCATCTCTAACCCCTCCACCATGGGCAGGGACATCTCCACTATCCCAGGTTGCTCCAAGTCCCATCCAACCTGGCCTTGGACACTTCCAGGGATGGGGCAGCCACAGCTTCTCTGGGCACCCTGTGCCAGGGCCTCCCCACCCTCACAGGGAGCACTTCCTTCCCAATATCCCATCTAATGCTGATCTCTGCTTGTGCTGTCACACGAGTCCTTTGTCTAAAGTCCCTCTCCATCTCTCTTGGAACCCCTTTAGGTCCTGGAAGAGGCTCTAAGGTCTCCCCTGAGCCTTGTCTTCTCCAGGCTAAACAACATCCCACCTCTCTCATCCTGTCTCCATAGCAGAGCTGTCCCAACAGAGCTCTTCCAGCCTTTGAATCACTTCCATGGTTTCCTTAGGATGTGCTTCAACAGGAGCTGGATGTGGTGCCCCAGGGCAGTCTCACACAAAGCAGAACAGGGGGAGCACCCTCTCCTCACGCTGCTGCCCGTGGTGCAGCCCAGGCTACACTCATCTCTGTGCTGTGAGTGCACAGTGCCGGCTGATGTCCCATCTGTCACCCACCAGCACCCCCAGCCATTCTCCACAGGGCTGCTCCCAGCCCATCCATCCTCCCAGCTGTGCTGGGGGTGGCCCTGCCATTAGCAGCGCCTGCTGGAGTCAGAACAGAAGTGTCTTGAGCTGTTTCCACGCTCGGGCCATGCCAAATATTTTAACGCCGTGCACAGACAGAGCTTCCCTTTGTCCCCGTGGGTGGGCGTGCAGGCGTGTGGTGCTGCACGGGCAGAGCGTGCCCCGGCACCGCGGGCTCGGGGACAACGGGGCTGGGTGCCGGGAGAGCCACAGCCCGGCGGCTGCGGTCCCCACAGACACTCCGACCCCGGGGGATGACCCACTGCTGGCCCCAGACCCATTGCCAGCCCCAGACCCATTGCTGGCCCCACTCCTATTGCCGGCCCCAGACCCATTGCCGGCCCATGTCCCCATGTCCCTGCTGGGGGTGGAGGGGTTCTATGGGTCACGGAGGCATTCCGGCCTCGGCTCAGCTGCTGGAGCCTTGGAGAGGCAACAGAGAGGAGCAGGAGGAAGGGTGCTGTGCCTGGCCTGCCTGACATCCTGCCCTCTCCCGAAAATTAAGTCAGCCCAACGTGGGCACTGACGGGGCAGAGCCCTGCCTTGGGGCTGAGGCACCACCAGCCTCGGGATGTGTCCTGACTCCAGCTGAGCTGGAAGGCTGGCCTCCCAAAGAGTGGCTCAGCAGCCTGGCTCTCACAGGTGTGCCTACCTGGCCATCTCCCTCCACTCCAGGCCCGCCGAGGTGCTGAGGAGCTGGTTGAGCTGGATGAAAAGCAGCGGGCAGGTGATGTCCCCCCTCTCCTCCCAGTGCAGGGCAGCACCAGCTTGCCGGGCCGCTGTGGCTATGCTGGAGGGGAAGATGCTGCAGCCGAAAGCCTGTGGGGGAGCTCCAGGGTTGCTGCACTCGAGTCTGGGCTGTGAGCAGCTGTCTGCTGCCCGGAGAGCTGTGCCACCATCCCCGGGCATGTGGGCTCGCATGGCCACCAACACCGGCAGCCACAGGCGTGAGCTCCCCTCCAGCACTCACAGGATCCCGCTCATCCCACACCTTATAACAGCTATGAACTGGTTTAAACTGGCCACAAACCAATACACAGGAGCCAAGCCCAAAACAACCATCTCAAAACACCAGGGTCAGCCCCACAGCTCCCAGTATGGTTGTGTCCTGCCATGTCCAGCTGTCCATCTGGGCCAGGGACCAGGGAACCCAGCTGCAGGTGACCTGTGTGGACAAGGATGTTGGTGGGCACCTGTGTGTTCCCAGCCCTGTCTGCACCCTGCAGGGCGTTGGTGAGGGGGTGGCAGGGCCAGCCCTGGAGAGCTGCTGGCAGTATCAGTGCCTGTGAGAGGGTGCTGTGCCCCAGCAGGAGGGGTGACACAGCCCTTGGCAGCTCCTCCTGGGAAAGTGGATATGGGGAAATGCTCTGGGGAAGGATGTGGCACCGCTGAGCAATCCGTGGTGGGGAAATGAGGGGCTGCCAGTGGCAGGGCTGACGGCAGAGGCTGGGAGAGCTTCAGGGCTGTGTCGGTGTTCAGAAGGCTCCTGTGTGAGCGGCAGCCCGTGAGCGGATGGAGGGGAAGGACACGGGCACAGCCACAGCTCCCTACAGGGACAGGGACCGGGCAGGGCCTGCACTGTGCTGCCAGCAGAGAGCAGCCACGGTGCTCGCTGTGCCCACACCATGCCCACTGCCAGCGCCACCACACTTGGCCCCTCGGCCCACAAACCAACCACGGGGCTGCGGTGTTTGTGTGCACTGCAAACACGGCGGCGGAACCGCAAACATAAAAACCCCGCGGCTCCGGCACGGGCCGGCTGTGCTGGAACCCGCCAGACCCAACAGGATCCAGCCCCAGGAGCAGCTGGAGCAGGTCCAGGCACCAGCACGGCAGACTCACCTTTTGGGCGCAGGTGGGAGTGTGGGTTCCTGAGGTCCTGGTACCTGCCTCGCAGGGACTGAGGCCGAGGATCTGGCCCAGGGTGTTGAGGCTGTTTGCTCTGCGATACCAGCGGGTACCATGGTGTGTGGAGGGGAGCCCTTAGCTGGGATGGGGACCATGGTGAGACCCCTGCCAAGAAGGACCCATCCATAAGGAGCATCAGGGATGCCCTGAGGCACCCAAACCTTCACGGGGTTCACCTCTCTCCCCTGTGGAGGCTGCCTCAGCAGCATGAGACGGGGTATGACTGGCAGGGAGGCTGTGAGGGGCTGCAGGAGGTGGGCAGGGTTCACAGGAGGCTGTGTGAGGCAGAGGGGAAGAGGCAGCAGGAGGCAGAGGCAGGAAACAGAGGCAGGCAGGATCAGCAGCCCGCACACATCTCCCCCACCCTTGCCCACTGCCAGTCCTCTGTGCCAGCAGCCTCCCTGGCAGCTGACGTGAGCTGGTACCTCCCTTTCCCGAGGTGCCAGGGCAGCTGGCAAACGCTGCCCTCACACACCCAGCCCGGCCTTGGAGACGTGATGGGGGGATTGCCAGGGGCAAAAAATTCCATCCCAACATGGGGACCTCCCCAGGAGCCAGTGTGCAGGACTGCCCAGGGACACAGCCCCTCGCCCGTGCCACCACCTCGCTCCGCTGCCAAAGGCTTTGGGCTCCTGATGGCCAGAGGAGGCGGAAGGAAAAACATCCAGCAAACAATTGCAAAAGTCAAGTCTGAGCAAGAAGGAGGGTGTGAGCGGGGGGTGCCAGATCCGGTGGTATTCCTTGGAGACGGCAACAACAATAGCAGGAATATTTGCTCATGGCTAGCTGAGCCCAAGCCGTCCATGGGCTGGGGGCTCAGGACCTCGAGAAAACAGCCAGGGGCGTCTGCTGGCCCAAAGGAGAGTTGAGGCAGGACCCTGCACTCACCTGGCACTGACGTCAGTGACATTTTTTGCACTGTCGCCTGTGCTGAGGACGGGGCCAAACACAGCACACGGTTGCCAGCATGGTGAAGGGGATGGGGAAGCTCTGGCAGTGCCCAAGCAGCAGGCTGGGACAGGGACAGCGGCTGCCTGGGGGGGTGTTGTGAGATGAGGCTGTGACTCAATCACTTGGGCTGAATAGGGGCACACAGGGGGCCTTGGGGATAGAAAGGGTCTCTGCTGCCATCTCAGATTGCCACCACCTCCCTGATGCTGGTGCAGTGGCACATGGGTGGCAGTGTGTCCCCTTTTTGAGGTTCATCCCATCCCTAGGGCCAGGAAGAGGCTCAGCCCTGACTCTTGAGCTCCTGCCTCTCACCTGATGCTCCTCTTGTGGGGTGCACTCGCTCCCCCATCACCCTCGGGCCACCTCGGGCACCTGCCAGCCGGGGCCACGGGGACCATCGGGATCCCCCTCTTCTTCCCCGGCTGGGTCCGCACTTTTCCCATGCCAGCTCCTTCCCTCCGCGCCCTGCAGAGATCCTTTTCTCCCCGGGCTCTCACCGCCCAGCCCAGCCCGCGGCGGCACCGGCGCAGCGGTGGCTCTTGGGTCCCTGGCCCGCCTCCTGAGCGAGGAGAACCCACCGGGCCCAGGCCAGGGTTCTTGGACCCGGTCCCGGTCCCGGCTGGCGGGACGCCCCCGGGGGCGGCGGGGAAGCCCTTCCCGAGGGCGGGGCGGTCGCTCAGCCCCTCCCCGCCCCGCCCCGCCGCCCGCAGCTTTCTACCGGCCGCGGGGCCGCTGTGCGGGAGAACGGGCATCGCTGCGGGACTGAGCGGAGCACGGCAGCGGCTGGACGTGTGTGCCCGCGGGTCATGGACGGGCGGGCGGTGCTGATCCAAGCGCTGCTGGCGGCAGGTACGGGCTCGCGTGGGGAGGGCCCCGGCTGCGGGTAACACATCCCAGCCCGACTTGGGGGTCCTGAACACGTGGGGGAAATGGTGTTGGGCATGCCGGTCCTGGTCCCGGGTGCGGGCAGACGGGAAGGTTGGTCCCTGTCCCGCGTGGGGAGGGCAGGGCAGGGCAGTGTCAGCCCCCGCTCCTGACCGCTGTCTCCGCAGTGTGCTCGGCGGCGGCGAGCGGGCTGCGCCGGGACGAGCTGCACAACGAGGTGCTGCACAAGGGCGGCGGCGGGGTGCCGGTCCTGGCCACGGCCCCGCTGCTCGGCGGCAGCCCGGAGAAGGAGGGAGGCGGAGCGGCCTCGGGGGACGACTTCAGCGAGCTGCCGAGAGGTATGGACGGGATAAGGGGTCCCAGGGAGCGGTCGGGATCGTTCGATGGGCTGGGCTGGGGGCAGCTGGCGCTGGAGGGGTCGCGAACGTGCCGGGCTGAGCTCGACTCAGTCCCGCGGGTGTCCCGGCAGCAGCTCCGGCTCCATTTCGGAGGGACTTGCAGTGTTGGGTGGGAGCAGTCCCCAGGTACCTAGCAGACCCGAGTGGGAGCAGCCCGTGGGGCACCAGCACGGAGCAGTGCCGCTCCTGCCAGGGGCTCTCCGTGTTCCTGAAGTCCCCTGCAGGGCGGGTTCCGGGGGTCCCGGCTCTCAGCTGCTTGGCCGGGAGGAGACAGAGCTCCTCGTGGCGGGGCTGCCGTGTCCGGGGAGCAGCGCTGCCCGGCCGGCGGTGGCCGTGGCGCGGGGACCGCCGTGAGTCACCGCCGCCCACGCGTGGCTGCTCCTCATTCCGCGGCAGGGCTCGTCAGCCGGCGGCCCCGCCACGGGGGCGATGGGAGCACTGCCGCTCTCTGGGGCTCCCGAGCACCCACGCTGGGCTCCTTGCCCCGGGCTGGCACTAGAGACCGTCCCGGGGTTGGACGGGACAGTGGCGGGCTGAGGGGTGACACGTACCTGTGCCTCGCACACTCGGTGTGCCGAGGGCAGTACCTGGCACCAGGAGCGTGCTCTGCTGCCTACAGCTCATCCTCCCATTTCCCCGTGTTTTTCTGTTTTCTGGCTGTGCCGGTAGACTGTGGCAAAAAGCTGGCAAGACCGGGCTGAGCCTTTCGCACCGGGGTGCTGGTGGGGGACTCAGCCCTCGGGAAACGCAGCCGTGTGTGTCGGCTGGCTGTGGCTGGGAGATAACCCTCAGGGCAGGGGACGGAGCAGCCTCTGCTGTCAGCCTCATCCGGGGGTTTCTCCAAGCCGCAGAGTTTCCTGGAGTATCGGTTTTCTCCAGGCGCAGCGTGGAGGATGTCGAAATAACTTTGCTAGGTGTGCAAGCGGCGTGTGCCAGCACGAGAGGCGCTGGTTCCGTCGGGAAGTGGCTGAGAAGGAACTGCGCAGGTTACAACTTGCCAGCTTGGACTCTGCTGCACTCTCCTTCCCGAGCAGCCCTGGGCTGAGTTCACTGGGGTTACTGAGCACCGTAGCTCGGGGAGAGCTTAAAAAACCCCTCTTGGAGCAGTGAGTGCTCTCCAGCTCCTCAACGCCTAGTGAGATCAAGCTGGGAGCTGATTTTTTTTTTGGCATCTGCACGCCTTAAAACCATTCGAGTACCGTTGCTAGTGTTGTGCTGTGTCTGGGTGAGGAGCCTGGTGCTCTAGCTTCCACCGACCCAGCAGGGGGCTGGCCTGGCACCAAAAGCCGCTGGTTCCTGCACCGCAATTAAAACACACCATTGTAATTCATGCGAACGCTGCCCTCACCATCTCTTTGGCTCTGCAAAACCAAAACTTAAGGCAGGCTTGCTCTTTTAATCCTGCCCTGGGGTGAGTAAGGCATCCTTGTGCCCACGGGAAGGAGAGCCCATCAGAGCCATGAATAGGGTCTTAGAAAAGTCTGTGCTTGTCAGGGAAATAAAGGCCAGATAAAGGGGCAATTAGCAATGTTCTGTATTCAGTGGAAACTGGTGCATATAATAGCAGCATTTGAGATGTATAAAGCTCTGTTCCCCCTGCCCGACTCCTTTCTTTCCTTGAGAATTGTTCTTATGAATTGGAAAGGCCATGATATTTGTGAGGAGCTGAAAAAAAAAAAATGTCCCCCCACCCCGGGCTTGGGGGCAGCTCCCAGCACAAAGAGCTGTGGGAGCCAGGGCTGAGCAGCTGTGGAAGCCCTGGGATGTGGCTTTGCCTTCCCTTAGGTTGGCACGTGGAGCTGATTTGACTGCTGTTCTCTCCCTCCCAAATTGCTTTTCAGTTGCCTTCCTGTCAAAGCCTCAAGGCCTCGTTACTCCCAAGAAAAAAGGGAACGGCAATAAAAGAAGAAAAGGCAAAGGCCTGGGGAAGAAGAGAGACCCGTGCCTGCGGAAGTACAAGGATTTCTGTATTCACGGCGAGTGCAAGTACATCCGAGAGCTGGGAGCTCCCTCTTGCATGTGAGTTGCTGGCGTGTGCCTGTGCGGGGAGGGGGGGAGCCTTAGTCATGGTGCTTTCAATTCTCCAGGCTGGGCAGAGGAAAAGCAGAGATATTTTTAGTGCATGTTCTCTACCCATGCAGGGACAACTCTGACTTGGCCTCTTCCTTGTACTTATCGAGAAGTGTCCACCCCTCCCCCAAAACTTGTCATGGCCTTAGAGGCAGGGTTCTGTGCCAGCACAGTGTGAGCTCTGCCCGAGCTGCCGTGCTGGGGACTGTGGAACGGTGTGTGTAGGGCTGGGCTCTGGCAGCTGAGGGCTTCTGCAGGTCTGATGTGGGAAACCTCATCCTGACCCTGTCACTGTAAATCCCCCACTCTGAGGTCTCAGGGCTCCTGCATCTGTCAGGGCACATCAGTGCAGCTGGGAGGAGCATCTCCCCCCTGCTGCCAGCAAAACAGAGTGGAGGCAGCACCTTTGGGGACAGGCTGCCAAAGCCATGCCTGACCTGTCCCTTGACCTGATGAAAGACAGGGCTGTGCACCCCTCCTTGCCCACTCCCCCAGGGGTGCAGAGCAAGAAGGGACTAGATGAGGCAAGTGGAGGAGAAAGTGTTTGCCTGCTGCTGGGGTACCTAGATACAGCACTGCTGCTGCGGGAAACACCCCGGGGTGCAGATTTGATCCCTGCTGACGTGGGCAGGACTTGAGCTGGCAGATATGTAAGAGGCTTTGTTCTTCACTATCAATCCTCTGAGCCACCCAGCCTTGAGCCCCAGGAAGATAATAGCTCCTTGGCTTATGGTGCCCACAAGATCTGCAATCTGCAGGGATCAAGCTCCACAGAGCTCCTCTAACTCCCTAGTTTCTCCCTGTTGAAGCTGTCATGAAGTTGGGCCCCCTGCATGGGGGACTCGGGACTGCCAGTGAAGGGACACCTTTGCAGGCACAGTTTGGGTTGCAACACCCTGGCCTAGGACTGGGACAGCCAGGTGTCTCCTGCCCAGATCCCTGGGGCTGGGAGAGAACCTGGGACACAGGAAAGCAGCAGGGATTTGGGGGCTGGCTGCATCTCTTCAGCACAGTGGCCCATCCCTGGGTGGCATCTCTCAGAGCCACCAGAGTTTTTAGTAACAGTGGCCAACTGCCCCAGTCTCCTCTGATAAAGAGGCCTTGTGTTGACTGGTGTCACTCAGTGGTGGCTGCTCTTGGTGGTTGGCTGTGCCTCTGTCACAGGGTCACCTGGAGTGTTGCTTCTTGGGGCACAGGGTGGAAGGAGGATGCTGTTGGACTGGGTCCTGCACCTTTGCCACGTGCCCAGCCTTGCTGCTATGCCTGGGAGGTGATGCTGGCGTGTGGCATTGTGAGCCCAGGAGGAGAGCTGGGCTGAGTCCGGCTTGGAGATCAGCCTGAGGGTCAGTGGTGCTGGATATAGAGGGATATATTTATCTGGTTGCATCAGTGCAATGTGGCTCAGGGAGGGCTGGAAGCCTCCCAGCCTGTGTGGAGCGTTATTTCTGTTACATGAGCAACCTCCCAAGTCTCCAAGGATGGGACACCTCTGAGCTGGCAGGGTGGGCAGGGACATCCTGCTCTATGGGAAATGCTGGGCCAGCTGCCTCACTGCTCCCTTCCCACTTCCACAGGTGACCTGTGCAACCTGTCTGCCTGGGGGTGAATGGGAAGAGCACAGACCCCAGTGCCTTCTGCGGGGGGAGACCTCACCCTTTCTAGGAGTCTTCACTAGGTGCAGGAGAAGCTTAATTTACTAGTACAATAGAGATGATGGTGACATCTGACCTCCCAGCTCGGGGGTGTGGGGACCAAGGGGAACAGGCAGGGTTCTGGATAAGGCTGAGCACTGAGGCATGGCCTTCCTATGGGGTGTGAGGAACACAAAGACCTCCTGTCCTTGCTCACCACTGACCTTTATGAGTTTCCTTCTTGCCCAGATGCCAGCCAGGCTATCATGGAGAACGTTGCCATGGCCTCTTGCTGCCAGTGGAGCACCCTCCCAGCGCCTACGACCACACCACAGCCCTGGCCGTCGTTGCTGTTGTCCTGTCCTCCCTGTGTCTCGTCATCATCGCAGCCCTGCTGATGCTCAGGTGAGTGGGATGGGACTGAGCTCTCAGGTCTGTGTCCCTGGGAAGATCATGTGCAACAAGGAGGGTGGCAAGGGCTTCTCCATGCCCTGAGCATCCCTTTGCTTGGCCTCGCAGGTGTCACAAGAGGGGTGGCTACGATGTAGAAAACGAAGAGAAAATCAAGCTGGGCATCACTGTGAATCACTGAGGATGCCAGGTGCTGGCGAGGTGAGCCCCTAGCTGGGCACGGGGCAGCAGTGGGGCTGGTGGACATCCGGGGCTCTGCTGTTTGTGCTGGCTGGGTCTGCTATGTGGATCCTGTGCCAGAGCTAGGCAGGAGCTGAAGGCAGCCTGAGTCTGGAGAAGCAGCTGGCTGAGAGTCTGGGCTGCCCTGTGGGGTTCCAGTCTTCTTTTTTCCCCTTCCTGCTGAAATCCCTGTTCCTTGGCACCTCTATCATTCCTTCTTTCTAACCCCAAGTTCATGCTCTGTGCTGGTGTTCTATGCTTTGGGGATGTTTGGTAGTAGGGAAGCTGCTTCTGTTTTGTTTAGTTTTTTTTCCCCCACTCATTCTGCTCCCTCTGTGACCCTCTGAGTCATTTCCCCTCCTTAGATATTGCCTCTATTTATATACATGTGTAAAAAACCCCTTTCCTTTTCATTCCCACTCTGTGTATTACTTGCAGCAAAGCAGTGCCTATCAGTTTGGCACGGGGGGGGATCTTGCTGCCAGCCCGTGCCACAATTCCTCTGGCTGGGTTGGGGTGTGTGCTCTGCCCCAGGGCTGGCTGCAGGGCTGAGTGCTGAAAATCTGTCAAACTTCCTCTGATCTGATCTAAATCCTGACGTTAGATGTGGTCATAAATATTACAGCTACTTCTCTTCTTTGGAAAAAAAAAAAGAAAACTCATTGTTCTTTGTGAGGATGAAGTAATGCCTTCGGAGAATTTCTGTCATGTTTATCGAAGTGTCGGGGGTGGGAATTTTAGCTGTTCATAGCAGCCGAATTTTCAGGAAGGAGACTTGGCACAAAGCATTCCTCACTGTCCCCCTTAAACCCTGGGGATTACTGGGGTGGATGTGTCCAGGGGAAAAAGTGCTGTGGTCCTTGGAAGGGAAGCACGGTGGAGTACCTTGGCTCCAGCCCCGAGGGGCACGAGGTTTCTCCCGCGGGGCTGGGTGGCTCGGCGCCTCTATCCCACCACGCAGGGAGCGCTCTGTGGCAGAACAGCCCCGGCTCTCGGTGTGAGCTCTCCCGTCTCTCTCTTGCAGGGGCCGGCACTAATGCACTTCTACCTCCTGGAAGAGGCGAGACCGCGGCGCCAGCGGCACGGGGCTGCGGCACTCTGGGGGCTCGCTGGAGCGCCAGGACGGCACCGGCGGGGCTGCTCGGGCAGCGGCGGCACTGCGGCAGCTCCGTGGCCATCTCCGGGACGGAGCGGTGCTGACCGGGGGCACGGGGGCTCTCCGTCCACTGCAGTGTGTGCCGAGGAACAAGCTGTGAAAGGGAGGAGACCGGGCTCGGGACTTCCTTCGCCGCAGGAGGGAGGGGAGGGGTGGGGAGGGTAACAGCTATTTAACAAGATATTTTTCATTTTAAATTATATATTTATTTTAGATAAACTGTACATAGTATTTATATTTATTGTAGGACTGGCTCTGCATCCTTCATGTACGTCAAGATGACAGGGTCAGACCTCTCTTATTTTTTAAGTGCAATGTAATATTCTAATAAATAACACTTTGTAACAAACACCTGGGTTGTCAATTTAATCATGGAGGTGGAAAGGAGTCAAAAATCCTGAAGGCTGTATTCGGTACCAATTCTGTGCAGATGGGGTACTTCCAACAGCAGCAGAGATCCTGAGTGTGGTCAGGGCTGCTGGATCAGCTTGTGTGATCCTTGAGGAGCAGTGTAAGGGGCTGGGGGCAGGATCCATCCCAGCTGTGGATTATTTCAGAGATTCTCTTCGTCTTTGCCAGCTGGTGCTTTGGGAAGGGAGTCATGCTTGTGTGTCTGCTCACCAAGCAAAGCTGCCTCTGGTATGAATAAAGCCACTCTGGCCACTGATCCATTCACATGGGAATGGTCCCTGGTTTTAAGCCAGCATTTGGCATTTAGACACTGGCACAGGGTGCCCAGAGAAGCTGTAGCTGCCTCATACCTGTAGGTGTTCAAGGCCAGACTGAATGCAGCACTGGAAGGTGGACTGGATTATCATAAAGGTCCCTTCTGAACAAATACTATTATGATGGTTCTATGATTTGGCAAGAAAAAAGAAAAAAAATTCCAGAGCTGGATTCCCACCTCTCTTGAAAGGAATCCTCTTCTTGGAGTGATTGTAGGTTCTCGGAGCTGAGTTAATTCCAGCAAGCATCACTTCATATGGTGGGTCAGGAATCATTCCTTACTTTGCAGTAAAAATAACCTCAAAACCAGTTCTTCCCTCTTCCATGATGGGGAAGTGAGAATGGGGGGAGCTGCTAGCTCTGCTAGAGAGCCTTGAGGCAGGGAGAAACCAACAGGATCCTGGGCTGCATCCAAAGGAGCAGAGTGAAGGCGATGCATGTACAGTTCTGGTGTCTCCAATGTAAGAATAATATGGAACTGCTGGAACAAATCCAGAGGAAGCCACAAAGTTGGTAAGAGGAGCAGATCTTCCCTATGAAAATAGACTGAGAGAGCTGGGGCTGTTCTGGTGGAGAAGAAAAGGTTGAGTGGAGAACTCATTGCAACCTTTCAGTGTCTGAAGGGGCCTCCAAGGAAGCCAGAGAAGGACTTGTCACCAGGCACTGCAGTGACAGGACAAGGAGTAACAGGCACAAATTGAAAGAAGGAAAAATCAGGCCAGATACATGGAAGAAATTCTGTATTGTGAGAGTGGTGAGGGATGGGAACAGGTTGCCCAGAGAAGCTGTGGCTGCCCCATCCCTGGGAATGTCCAAGGCAAGGTTCGATGGGGCTTGGAGTGATCTGGGATAGTGGAAGATGTTTCTACCCGAGGCAGGGGCGAGTTGGGATGAGATGATCTTTAAGGTCCTTTCCAGCTCCTTTATGGTTCCCAGTAAGGCAGGGATGGCTCTCCCGTTCTGGCCGCTCTGGGCCTTCTCCCAACCCTGCACGGCACCGTCAGCCCGGGCCGGGCCGGGGACACCCAGACGGGGCCGGCCCGGCGAGGCAGTCTCGGCCCACAACCGCACCGGTGCTGCCGGCACCGCAGGCCGCGGCCTGCCGCCAGGAACCCTCACGGCAGCCCTGGCCCAGTCGGTGCCGGTGCCGGTGCCGCTGTCGGTGTCGG